GGGCCACACATCGTCCTGTGCAAACTGAACTGAACTGAACTGAACAACCTGACCTGACCTACCTAGACTGCGCTACACCACTGGTTTTCGGATTTACATGCTCGGAGGTGATTGATTTTGTTTTTCACATTCCTTTCTATCTATTAGCGCCGAAATCTGTTGCAGACGACTGAGAGGCCATATTCACGCCTCGTTATTTGTCAAGATATACTTCCTTCTGAATGTTTTAGAACTCGACGGGTTAGGCTATAACTTTGTAAACTAGCTGAGTTCATTGGGTTTTGAATGACTGTTGAATGACTAGGATAATGATCTTTTTATTTGTTTCAATGTAAACTTTTTAATATTTTTTTGATGCTTCAGTAGTTGGTCGGCAAGGCTTTGTTCTGGTAGTCGACTAGCACTGCCGGATAAGAATGCTTGGCGACATCTAGTTGTTCGCATCTCACCTTTTTGCGGCCTCCACATTGCATAGAAACCTTGGCACAAATCAGAACGCGTTCGAAGTCAAAGCGGGTAGACTGATAAGATTGGCAGCCTTACCCTCTCCATCTANTCCTGTGCAAACTGAACTGAACTGAACTGAACTGAACTGAACTGACTGACCTTGAAGATAGTCCGCCCGATGTTTTCTATGTACTATTATCATCGTTTTTTAATATACATGTTATTTTTGTTTTGGAGTTATTCTGTACTCCTTACCTGATGGTTGAATGTTATAAACCGTTTCGACAAAATGATTTAATATTTTTTTTATTAAACATTTAGTGATAAACTGTTTGGCCCCTTATTTCCCTCTTGCTGTGGGAAATTGAGACACACGTGAATCCTCAAGTTTTCATGAACAGATACATTATTTCTACTTATTTCAGCCTTTTAACCCGATTGATCTTTTTTCAAAATGAATTTTATGGTTCGCTGTTCATAACCGCACGAATGTGTACAGTGCACACTGAATTTAGGACTGATATTATCCAATGAGTCAGTATTTCCAATAATTATGAACTCAAGTTATTTTTCAGAAATTACTTGTAATTCATTGTACATTGCTACTAAAAATAACATAGCCGCTCTTTAAGTCTCTCAACTCCATTTTCATTCACAGTTCATCACACATTTTACTGAAATTTCTCAACATCCGGTATCATGACTCTTATATCATGTTTCTTCCCCACAACACATTAATATTATTACTATTAGTCTGGGTATCTCTGAGCGGAGGGTCGCGAGCTGTTGCTTTGATCTTGAAAATACTTCAGACGGGTACTGTCACTCCGAGGAACCACCAGAAGTGCCTTTTACTTTCCCGAAACGCAATCACGTTTACGTGAACGAAATAACAATTGTCGCAGCTCCGTGGTGCTCCCAAGTTCATTGATGCAAGAAACTGTACTGCTTCTGGCTCCACCCGTAAGTCCTGTTACCTATCCTCTCACTCTAGATCATCTCGTAGAACCACAGGGTATTATGATTCCATCTCCATCCTGGGAGCTTGACGATACCTACATGACCCAGTGTCCTGGTTAGGGTTTTCATGCCCTCATACCAGGTCTTAGTTCCACCACCCTTGACCTTTCTTTGATCCCTTGCCAGTTTCGGCAAACATTGCGCGCCATGGCTGCCTATTTGGTGTCATGCATAACAAATTTCCGGCGAGACTTGAGGGCTCCTTTATTTCTCTATGGAAACACTGTACCGGGCCGTCTGCAACAGGATGATATACGGGTAGTGAACAGCACAAAGTCCCTCCAGTTTATGGACGATATTGAAAAGATTGGCTAGCTTCTCAATGAACGTACGTACTGTTAAGAATATACCTGTACACTCAAATTGTCTAAAGAAGTGTATATTTATGTGCTCAAAGTGGAACAGTTGAACTGTGCGTGTTGTGTTTTGTTTATAGTAAATCACTTCTTTTTTGCACAGCGAAACAGTTTTTACTTTCCATTGATGTTACGTATACCTCGAACAACTTAACAAGAATTATCCGAAAGTTGGGGCGCAAGCTGATCTAAACGGTTCCAAAAGGGATTTACCTCAGCATATACACATATATATATATAATGTTTGTGAATCCAATAATCTTATAACTGTAGAATTAATAGAAGTAGTGAAAAAGTTTCCCTATCTAGGTAGGTACATCTCACTAAGCGAACACATCACGGATGAAGTGTTGTCACGCATACAGATGACTCCATTGGTGTTTGCTGAGGTTAGGTGCAAAGTTTTAGGTATTCACGGTCTACCACCGGAACGATTGTTCCACCTCTATAGACTGCGTTCGTTGCGCATGTTACCAAATAGATTGTCACGGCGTGTGCTAGTTGCCGACGCAGATTATTATTCGAAAAAAGTAAATAGTGATGAAACTCACATTCATTAGCTTCATTAGGCTTCCTGACTAGGGACCTCAGGATCTTTGTAAGCAATCGTCAGAGACAGTGATATCACTGTCGTAAAGAGTAGTTCCGTTCATCTACTCTTTATTCTTGCAACCTTGTTTAATGTGAATCCTCTATCTTCTCTTTAACTCTGCTCGCTAAATTCCAATCTTCCTTCTGCTCTTTCCTGCAAACGGGCAGTCATGAGACAGCAACCAAAACCGGGGAACGAAAGCGCATGTTTAATGGTTTTCAAAAGTAAACTAAGCTAAATCTTCTATCAGGTTTTTCTTATAATTGTACCCAAGACTTGTATTTTATTCACATACATCTACTTCACCACACTAAGTGCTTTTTCTCTGGCAGACCAGTTTATTTATGGACCATTACTGTGATTTGATATATTGTTGGTGGGTAGATTTTACTATCATGATTATCATTAGTATATTTCGCGTAGTCTTCTGACCAGAATATGTCCCAAACAAATCACAGGACAACAAAGAGAAGAGGAATTATTTCATTACTTTATATATGGGTACAATACCAATAGGTTGACCAGAACAGATGAATTTTCCTGTGGGGTTCACTCAATCACTGGCAGCAATTCTTCCTCCCCTCCCGACGTATTGACTGGCCCCTATCCGCTTACCACAAGCTTCAAAACCTTTCCGTTTCCTCCTCCTCCTCTGGAAACGCGTGCTTTGCGGTTGTGATCATAATTAGGAATTCCGTAATTATCCTTCCTCTCGNACGGGGCTGTTGGCGTTCGATCCGTCTGTCCTCAACGCTTTTCCGATTTCTGGGGTCTGACCAGACTAATTTTCATTATGCTTATATCCTTCATTTTTACTTATTTCCCATTTAAGCGACAAGATCTGCACAGTGGACGTCTTACTGTAAACCCTGCTAGGCCTCTCATATCATAATACTCATTTCCTACATTGACTTTTACACACTATTCGACAAACATCAAGCTATGTGACTAAGTGTCTTAAACAGGGGCACTCGGTCACCCAGATTTCTTCACCGAATTGATTTAACTGCATTCTTTGTCTTTGCTCTGAGTCTAGTCTCGGCACTTCGCTTTTTCTGTCAACTCTTTTGTCAAAATGGGTAGCCGAATGAAAACCAATTGTATAAAATGGAGCGTTGCACATTCGCGAAGAAATTACAAACTGTCTCAAACTATACAAACTTCTGAAGGATTGGTCAATATTTTATTATCATAAATCGCCTTGGGTTACCAGTCTGAACTGTCCGAGAAACAACCGCCGACCAATCGGAAATTTTGATCACGAGCTCAGTCCTCTTTTGCAGTTTCTTATACATATGCATTTCTAGTGTACCAAGAATTTTTATTTGCTGAAATTTAACTCTGTCACCACATAGGTTTGGTCTTTTACCCGTTCAGCTGTAGCAGTTGTTATTCTAATTCACTGATTTCTTTCACAGATATTAAGCTGGCCATCGTCGCGTTTCCCTTCCATGTGGTTTGCGTTGTTTTTTGTACACGTGTTGAGTTGGACTACTGCAGTTCACGGTGGAGATGAAAATGTTGTCCGCTTCGTTTCCCTTCGACCCGATTTGAATTTACACCAATTGGAATATCTAGACTTCCACACGAATATTCTGAGAAGAAGGGCCCAAATAGAACAAACTACCGGTCATATGCTTCATTTAATCAACCAGAAGCGATTAGTTGGTTTACAAATCATGCCACCGGGACCTATCCACTATAGCCGAGCACAACATCCGGATTGGACTTATGAAGCCTATCTCATTGCGGTATGTCATGCCGGTCTGTATGATCCCATTTCGCGTTTCTAGTCGATGCGAAGTATTGTAGCTCGTGGATTGCAGATTTTTCCAATGTGTCACTTTACCGGTTAGCCCATTTAAATTTCGCAATGAGCTTGCTGATCGGATTTGTAGAATATGCTCAACCACCTGCTTGCCTTATGCATGTCCCATGGAAAGCGTTGTGCAGAGGCAAGATTAACGAGGTAAGTTTTGTCGACGCGTGGGACGTTATGTTTTCATTCACTGTATTTTATTATCACTTAGGAAGAAGCCAAGTCCTTGGTGGCGGAAACATCCGAGTTGCCTTGGAAGGGTAATGTGAACAAGGATGTTTTGATCGTGAAAAGCATAATGCATTCCAACTGTGGTGAACATGTTACAGCATCTGCGCTCGCCACAAGTCTCATAGAGGTGACTATCTACCGTTGATCCTGAATAAATCAAATACTAATCCATTCACTCTCTAGGTTGAACCTAGCAATGCGTTTTATCGGTACCTGTTTAGTGAAGTGCTTTCTCGTCAGGATCAGGTTTGTCTTTTTGTGATTTATTTGGTCTAAGGTTTGCTTTTATATTTAGACATTAATTCCAGACGCTTTGGGTCAAATCAATTTGGCCATTCTACTCAATTCCACGGAACCTCTCTATCGCGAAAAACGAATTTCAGTGAGTCAATCCATTTTGTTTCGATTATTGTTACCTTCTGAACAGAATACTGTGACATCTTACAGAAGCCGTCTCTGTTGAACTTTTGAACTGTGAGCTTTCTGGTTGGGAGTCTTAGTTTGGAGTTAGAGAGTCGATAGTTGGCCCTTAGTCAGCACATGTTTGAAATAAATTTGGCGTTATATCCGAACCAGCTTGTATGTACTCACAAGTGTTAGGTGTTACGTTTGTTTATGTGGGCTTCATATAAAGGGTCGTTTTTTCCCCATCATTGAACTGCAGTTCATTTCAAACGTTCCTTGTCTGAATCCTCCTGGATAACTAAGGTATGCATTGCTACTGGTATCCAAGAAGAAACACTGCAGAATGTCGTAATGTTTGTCAATCAATGCAACATTCCATCTCAACGGAGCACTTGATTTCATTGAGGAAATGCAGTTGGGAAGAAGTGAAAATTGCATACAACTGTAGTTCAATGACTGCAAGTTCTGTTCTCTAAAGTTTGGAACACTAAGCAGGACCCTCCTCGCGGGCGGAATTGATTGTTTTTCTCATTTTTTAAAAAGATACGTGCAGTATTTGCGCCAACTACAGATGATAAGTCCTAGCCCAATACCGTCCAAGCTGTTGGCATCCGTCATTCTCGGTGTGTTGTACAATACGCCTGATAAGTAGGCTCGATTTCGGCCTGGTCCTGGATACATCGATCAAATCTTCACCCTTCGATAGCTACTAGAGCACTGTCATGGTTTTTGATGACTAACGATCATTGTGTTCTTAGACATTCGTGCGGTCTTCAACTCCATTAATAGGACCGCACTATGTTGCTGGTATTGTTTGTTTAGATCCGGGGTACCTGAGATGTATGTGCCGATCTTCTAGTTGCATCGTCGTGCCTCGAGTCGAGTTAGGGCCAGCTTTCGCTTTCCCTTACTGTTTCCCATGAAGTGCACAAGGCTCACCTATATCCCCATTCCTCTTCAACTTTGCCATAGAGGATGTTCTACAAAAGCACTTTGCCTCTTCTAGTAAACAGTGGAGTCGAACTCCTCCCAGGAAACAGAGTTTTTGACTTCAAAAATATGCCGATGGCATCGCCTTGTTGGATGACAATACACAGGCAGTCCAACACTCTTTGAACTGCTTGTCTATAGATGCATCTAGGTACAGTATGTGCTTTGCACCACCAAAGTGCAAAGTGCTTATTCAGGATTGGCTGGAGCCTGTGCCTTCTGTCAACCCCTGTGGTGATTAGCTGGAAGCAGTTGTGAGCTTTAAGTACATCGGGAGCTTGATCGCAGTTGTGGTTGATGTTGGGAAAGAGATCACATCACGAATAGCGAAAGCGAGAACAGATTTCGCCAACCTGCGTTTTTCTTTTTATAAAGATTATTGTACCATGATTTGTTTGGCACACAGTTTGGCATCAGACGTATGTGAAATGTAGTAATATAATATAACCTGCGACACTTGTAGCGCCGCCATGACATCCGACTTTCCCTTAAGGAATGGGTGCACATCACTACAGTTCGTAATGTTCTACTTTACGGTTGCGAGACCTTGCCTCTCTGACGTGAGGATGCCAATCGATTTTCTATGTTCGACCACCAATACATTCGATGCATTGCTATTGTCTGGTAGGGACATCGTATTAACAGTGACGAAATTCATCGTCGTGTGCTGGGAACTGGTAGTCGTTCTCTAACACAAAAAAGTCGCTCTACACCGCCTGCGATGGCTCGACCATTTGCCGCGTATGCCTGCCCATCGACTACCTCGCCGAGCTCTCTTTGCAAGTGCTCTGCAATACTAGAAGAATCGCCACGGCGGTCAGACCATGACCTGGCGTAGAATTAGAGCAAAGTTGACCTCATCATTGACCTTCGTTGGTGCAGCTCGTCTTTCAGGTTGCAAAATAAGGGATGATGATTGTCGTTGGTTAGAGACACTGTGAGATATGGTTCGGAACAAAAGTCTGTGACGCGGTTGTTATACAATTTGTTTGTTGAAACTTACTAGGTATCAAAAGGCATCAAAATGTGTGCGCTGAAAGCAACAACAAATCGTTTATTTGTTTTTCCCGTTCTCTGTTATCTGTCTTCCTCCTTTTTCATTTAGCTTATAAGTACCCTATCGTACCGTTCATAATACTGTTGTTGCCTTGATACCATTCGCATATATATATATATATATATGTATAATAAGGATAAGCGTAGATAAATCCCAGAACATACGTATCTATACAGCTGCGGTGCCAAAGCAGTCATGGGTTTGAAAGGCATCACAGAAGCGAAATAAAAGTGTAAATAACAGCAAGAACAATCCATTTGAGGTAGGGGG